CCATTATCTCCAAAGCCTGGGTATCTTGCAACCTTCCTCTGACCCTGTGTAAACAGTCATATCTTAAGTCAACAACACCAAAAGTCCTCTAAAGGCAATAGATTCCCAAACAAGAGATACTTTCCCTTTCTATTAGTACCAGGTCACTCATTTCTCACTAACCTGCCAACTGGGGGAAAGTGTTGCAGTGTCAGAAGTGGTTTGCCCAAAACTTCAAACTTAAGCATGCATGTTGCAGCAATAGTTTGCTTCATGTTTGGATGCCTTCAGGTCACTCATAGAAATATGGTGATCCCGTCCATTTTATAGGAGTTTTTTGGGCCAGGAATGCTCAGAAGTGGTTTTGCCAGTTTTTTGCTCTGAAATAGAGCCAAAGCCCTTGCTATTCATCGGTGAACTCCCATCCAAGTATTAGCCAGGACTGATTCTGCTTAGCTTTCCAGATCATTTGGGGATCTCATGCCTTTGGAACATTTACTATTTTGCATTTTATCAATATGGAGACTTTAATGCAGTGTTCCTCAAACTGGGGGTTGGGACTGAGGGTGGGGGGGGGGGTCATGAAGGGGTGTCAGAGGGGTTGCCAAAGACCATCAGAAAACATGGTATTTTCTGTATTGTTGAAGGCTTTCATGGCTGGAATCATGGGGTTCTTGTAGGCTTTTCGGGCTATATGGCCATGTTCTGGAAGCATTCTCTCCTGACATTTCTCCTGCATCTATGGCAAGCATCCTCAGAGGTTGTGAGACCTCACAACCTCTGAGGATGCTTGCCATAGATGCAGTCGAAACATCAGGAGGGAATGCTTTCAGAACATGGCCATATAGCCCGAAAAGCCTACAAGTCCCCTTATTCAAAACCATCTACTTAGTTACATTTGTTTCTGAAATCCTTCCTACCACTGAAATGTTGTTGGTGCAACTAAGTATAAAATAATATCTAAGGGCCCTTCTAGGTTGCTATATAAAATCCAGACTGTCTGCTTTGAACTGGATTATATGGCAGTGTAGACACATATAATCCAGATTTTTGTATGTGTCAGGAGTAACTTGAGAAACTGCAAGTTGCTTCTGGTGTGAGAGAATTGGCTATCTGCAAGGTCATTGCCCAGGGGATGCCTGGATGTTTTGATGTTTTACCATCCTTTGAGAGACTTCTCTCATGTCCCTGCATAGAGAGCTGGAGCTGACAGAGGGAGCTCCTCTGCACTCTCATTGGAATCAAACCTCCTGCCTGTTGGTCTTCAGTCCTGCAGGCACAAAGGTTTAACCCATTCCGCAACTGAGGGCTCATCCGCTTTGATAATCTGGATTATGTGGCAGTGTAGAAGGGGCCTAAATCTAAGCAAATTTAATTGAGATAGTCCTTGCATTCTGGAAGGAATCTTAATGTTTACTACTCATATGCTTGGCAAGGCGATATGCTTGGCAGGAGTTCAGCATTCTCTTTGGTTGTTGGTGAACTATAAATCCCAGCAACTACAACTCCCAAATGTCAAGGTCTATTTTCCTTAAACTCCACCAGGGTTCATATTTGGGTGTATCCAGGTACAGGGTGAGGCAGCATAACTTCCTTTTTAAAAATGCGCACCATTCAATCGGTTGAAGATGTAGCGGAGCGCTAGTGGTCTCATTCGTGAGGCGGGAGTATAAAGTTTTGTCCTGACACAGTTCAGTCGCCATCATGCGTTGGAACAGTGAGGAGCGTGCTTTTGCCGTTGAGGCCTACTTTTCGAGCGGATTTGGAGTGGTCAGCCCGCTCTCCAGATTTGGCCCCTTGTGATTTTTTTCTTTCTATGGGCTTTTTTTGAAATCCTGTGTTTATGTGAACCGTCCAAGGACCCTACAAGAGTTGAAGACCAACATCCAGGAAGAAGTTGCCAACAGAACACTTGTTATGCTGGCAAGAGTCATGACAAACGCCAGAAATCAGTTTACTCAGTGTATGGAGAATGGGGGATGTCACCTACCTAATTTGAACTTCAAAACTACGTAAAACAAAACTTTAGGTATGTGCCCATGTGCTGGTACGGCTGTACCAGGAGCTCCAACTTTATTTCTTTCTGTTAACGTTTGCAGTTATAGGGCAGGCCTCCTGTCCATCTTAATTAAGCTTTGGTTCCGCCGCGTGTTCAGGCTCTGGGAGGGAAAGGAGCCATTTTGGGCAGTCTCACAAGGTAGCTAAGCTATAGGATGTAGACCAGCTTGTCCCGTAGAAAAGCTTCCTTTCTTAAAGAGTTTCTAGGGGAAAACCATTCAGGAAAAAGGATCACCCAGGGAAAAGGATCATCTAGGGAAACTGACCATCCAGGGAAACTGAAATTCATTGAACTCAGCTGAAATATCTTCAAGCCTCAGCTGGTAAGATCTGCTCGATACCCAGACGCACTTGGATTCGGTAGTAGCACCCACACCGATGAGGCATAGATAGAAATCAGCCTGGGAGAGGTTGAAAAGGGGTTTTTCCTACAGAGAAGGTTCAGTTGATCAAAGTCAGGTGCCAGTCCATTGAAGACTAGACTAGGAAAGCCTTAAAGTGTTGTTTGAACCTTTGAAGATTTGTTGTTTGTTCCATAATAAAGACTTTGTTGTATCATTAAAGACCATCACTTCAGAAAAATCCCTGAGAACCTCTCTTTGAGGCGCCCCTGGCTTCCCGCTTGGCTTAAAGTATACACCCAGGACCGGCTCGTCCATTACACAAAGTAAGCGGTCGCAGAACACTTTTTTTGCCAGGGGCGCAGAGGCGTCTCTGTAAATGCCCCTCGACTGCCACTTGAGGAGCACCCCCTCAGCTCACAACAGCCCTAGCAGTCTGGGGGGAGCCTCGGCTTTCTTGCCTCACTGCCGGGTGATCCTCTTCCCAAAGGGGTCGGGCCCTTGAGCCTCGCCTAGCACCTCTCGTTCCTGCTCCACCCGGCCACCGGGTGCGTGAGCAGAGCCGGCGCTCAATCATTCTCCATGTTCAATCCCTTCCCCATGACCAGCTCCCTTTCCTGATCTCCTGGTGCTCCACCTGCCTCCTCCCCTCTCCCCAATCCGTGGGTGGGCCAAGGGGTGGAGCCGCCGCGCCTGGCCCTGTTCGGGTCCGGAGGTGTGTCTGAAGACCCCAGCGTGAGCACCAAAAGTCGCCTCTTCTCCTGACTTTCTCTTCAGCCATTGGGACCAAGAGAGAGAGAGCCCCTCCGGCTGGAGGTATCTCCCACCTCCGCTCCCTCCTTTGTTTTTGCGCCTACCTTCAGGAAAGGTGGGCATCTCCACCTCTCTCTCTCGGTCCCAATGACTGAGGAGAAAGTCAGGAGAAGAGGTGACTTTTGGTGCACACGCCGGGGTCTTCAGGCATGCCTCCGGACCCAAAGCGGGCCAGGCAAGGGAGCAAATGCGGCAAGTGTAGTTACTGGGATGTATAGTTCACCTACAATCAAAGTGTTGGGGTTCAGCCTGAGTTTGAACTTGAACCTGATTCTCTGTTTGTTCCTCCTGATGCTAATGAAAGTATATTTACTGATGCTAGTGGAAATGTACCTTTTGATGCCAATGCTCCTGAAATTAGTGAGGAAGAAACTGCTGTAGGTTTGGAAAATGCCAATGTTCCTGAAATTAGTGAGGAAGGAACTTCTGTAGATTTGGAAAATGAAAGTACCAGTGTTCATGAGAATGTTTCAGAGGGAGACCTTGAACTTTCCCTCCCTTCTGCACCTGTTAACTGTAATGACAACAGAAGGGGCCAAATTTGGGAAGACAGAAGTAAATCACTCAGTTTGCGTCAATCCTCCCGAATTCAAGAATTAAAAACATTGGCTTCAAAAAAGAAGGGCGGTTCACGGAACCAATTCTTGAGTTTAATTGCCTTACGCCGGGCTGACTGTCTCAGTTCAGGCATCGTTTCAGAATTGATGAAGACCTTGGCAGTTCTCCCGGTTCCCTGGCCATAGTTTGGGAAGATTTCTAGGATATCAAGTATGGTTAGTGGATTGCTAACAGGTTCCAGTATTTCACAGTGAGGCTTTTGGTTTTGCTTTGTCCATTTAAATTCATGTTTGCTGATTTTGCTGTGGCTTTTGACTTGCATTTTTCCTTTATTTTGTAACCATTTTTCTTCAATAAAAAAGGATTGTTTTTCACAGCCAAGTGTGGTGGATAGGGCCTCGTTCCCTGCTCTGGATTGCAACAAAAGAGCATTCTGAACTCCACCAATGATGGAATTGAACCAAATATGGAACACAGAACTCCCATGACGAACAGAAAATATATATCAGTGATTGGTTGGGGGGGGGGCCAAAATACTGTTTGCTTACCGTTGTGACTACCTGCTGCAATGCACCCTGAGCCCTGCCACATGCACCATGGAGGACCTCCTTGCAGCAACACCAGAGGCACTCCAAGTGGCCAGATACTGGTCAAAGATCATTTAATCAACTACCAAACTCACACATTTTGTATTTTCTCTGTTTGTTTGCTTTGTTCTGTTAGAAATGTAATATATTTGACTGGTTGCCCTGACACGACAAATAAATACCCTGTATGTGTGCCAAATTGGCTCCAGTGAATGAAAATACATCCTGCACATCAGATATTTACATTACGATTCAGAACAGTAGCAAAATCACTACAACAACCCAACATCACAACACCCGACTGCTCCAAAGCCCTCCCCTTGGCTACAGGCTTGCTTCCAAAAAGACTCCATAGCATCCCAAGTTTTCCAAGTTCCTGCCCAGGGTGGCTGCGCCCTGGGGGTCCCCACGGGTGACCTGGAGGCGTCCCCTTTGTTGCGCCTTGGCCACGCCAATCCGCAGCCAGGAAGGGCCACTTGTGGGGCGCAGAGAGGCGAGGAGAGGAAGGAAAGGAGAGAAGGAAGGAAGGGAGGGAGGCGAGGAGGCGGAGTGTGCGTAAAAGCCACCCTCCCTGGAAGAGAGGGGGAGAGAAAGCCACCCTCCGAAGAGCCGCCTTCGCAAGGGCGGAGACAGAAGCCGAGCGGCAGCCAATCGGAGCCCCCTCCCCTCCTTCCCTCTCCCCCCTCCCTCCATCCCCTCCAGATGCAGGGCCCCCTCCCCTCCGGGCCCCTTTCTCCAAGGGCTCCCCTCGGCTCTTAGCTTTGGTTTCCACGCGGTTGCGCACGGAGACGCTTCGGGGGGACAGCACCTTTGGGGGTCTCCAAAGCGTGAATCTTGGGCTCCTCGGTGGATTGGAAGCCCCTCGCCCCCTCCCATTGGGCTTCGCCTTGGAGTCGAGGAGGAGGAAGGAGAAGGGGAGGCAGAGGAAGAAGAGGAGGAGGAGGAAGAGGAGGAAGAGGAAGAGCGCAAAGGGCAAAGCGCGCGCGCACCCAAACAGGTCGGCTTCCTCGCTTTCTCTTTCTCTTCCATTCCATCACTCAGGTATTATGATCTCATCATCATCAGCACCACCATTAGTATTATTACTTGGGTATCTGATGTTAGTTTAAGGCGGAGGGGAATCGTCTCTCCACCCGTTTCCTGACTTCTTTGGCTCACTGGGCTGCTGTGAGTTTTCCGGGCTGTCCGTCCATTTTCCAGAAGCATTCTCTCCTGACGTTTCGCCCCCATCTATGGCAGAAGTTGAGGGGTCTGTTGGAAACTAGGCAAATGAAACAAGATTCTTGTCTGCTTGTCAGTAACCAGCCAGGCTTTGAAGCTGAGAAGCCATTCAGTGCTAATCAAGGTGGCCATTTGCAACATTTGCAGGCGTCCTCTGAGGTTGAGGGGTCTGTTGGAAACTAGGCAAGTGAGAGTTATATATCTGTGGGGTGGAAGAAAGAACTCTTGTCTGCTTGTCAGCAACCAGCCAGGCTTTGAAGCTGCAAGGTCATTCAGTGCTCATCAAGGTGGCCATTTGCAACATTTGCAGGCATCCTCTGAGGTTAAGGGGTCTGTTGGAAACTAGGCAAATGAGACCTATATATCTGTGGGGTGGAGGAAAGAACACTTGTCTGCTTGTCAGCAACCAGCCAGGCTTTGAAGCTGAAAGGCCATTCAATGCTCATCAAGGTGGCCATTTGCAACATTTGCAGGCATCCCCAGAGGTTGAGGGGTCTGTTGGAAACTAGGCAAATGAGACTTATATATCTGTGGGGTGGAAGAAAGAATTCTTGTCTACATGTTCAGCAACCAGCCAGGCTTTGAAAGAACACTTGTCAGCAACCAGCCAGGCTTTGAAGCTGAAAGGCCATTCAATGCTCATCAAGGTGGCCATTTGCAACACTTGCAGGCATCCCCAGAGGTTGAGGGGTCTGTTGGAAACTAGGCAAATGAGACTTATATATCTGTGGGGTGGAAGAAAGAACTCTTGTCTGCATGTCAGCAACCAGCCAGGCTTTGAAGCTGAAAGTCCGTTCAGTGCAAGGTGACCATTTGCAACATCCACACTTGCCTCGAGCAGACAAGCATTCTTTCTTCCACCCCACATTTATATAAACCTCACTTGCCTCAATTCTGCTGTCACCTGGGATTGTAACATTGATTATTATTATTATTATTATTATTATTATGGGAGCGGGGTGAGCTCCCGCTGTTAGCCCCAGCTCCTGCCATCCTAGCAGTTCGAAAACATGCAAATGTGAGTAGATCAATAGGTACTGCTTCTGCTGGAAGGTAATGCAGTCATGCCGGCCACATGACCTTGGAGGTGTCTACGGACAACGCTCTTCGGCTTAGAAATGGAGATGAGCACCACCCCAGAGTCAGACACGACTAGACTTAATGTCAAGGGGAAACCTTTATCTTTACTATTTTGGATTATATGGCTGTGTGGAAGGGCCCTAGGAATGGAGGGAGAAAGAGTGTTGGGAAACTGGAGAGTACATATTACTATTACTACTAATAGAACACGAGAGGCCTCCCACAAGGATGATAAAACATCAGATCATCCGGGCGCCCCCTGGGCAATGTCCTTGCAGATGGCCAATTCTCTCACACCAGAAGTGACTTGAAGATTATCAAGTCTCTCCTGACACGACAAAAAAATTATTATTTGATACATGACAAAATTAGTACACAGCAAACAAGATCACTATGCTGACTTTTGTATTGGCACATACATCTGACACTTCTCAAGTGTCTAGGACTGTGTGATGTATCGGCGAATAATGCGTGCAGATCCAAGTAGGGTGGCCTTTTGCAGCGGACAGATGGTAATTTTGTCAACGTCGATTGATTTTAAGTGCAGGCCAAGGTCTTTTAGCACTGCACCCAGTGTGCTGATCAACACTGGGACCACATTGACTGGCTTGAGCCACAGACTTTGCAGCTCAATTTTTAAATCCTCATATTGTGTAAGCTTTTCCAGTTGCTTCTAGTCAATTCTGCTGTCGCCTGGGATTGGAACATCAATAATAATAATAATAATAATAATAATAATAATAATAATTCCAGGGAGCAGAGTGACTTCCACTCACATCTTGATGCATGGTCCTCAGCATGTTTCCTCTCATTATTATAATATGATCTGTATCTCAAAATCTAGAGCTGATAAAGGAAAACAAGTGCCATTTTTGGAATCAGCTGGCCAGATATACCCAGAAACAGGTCTAACATTTGAGGCACCAAAATATGTGTTGGTCAGCAATAGATACTTATTTGTATCTCCCCAAGTTTTGACTCAAGGTGGCTTACAATCTGAAAAGAGAAATGCAGATGGACCTCTTCATTTGCTGATTCTGCACCCAGGGATTTTCCCCATCCACAACTTGAAAATAGCCCCACAGATCTAAAAAGCAAATTTTGGTTTTGTAATTGTATATAAGACACGCGTGCACACACAATACACACATATATGGAGCCTCTGGTGGTGCAGTGGGTTAAACCGTTGAGCTGCTGAACTTGCTGACTGAAAGGTCGGCGGTTCAATTCTGGGGAGTGGGGTGAGTTCCTGCTTTTAGCCCCAGCTTTTGCAAACCTAGCAGTTTGAAAACATGGAAATATAAATAGATCAGTAAGTACTGCTTCTGCGGGAAGGTAATGGTGCGTCATGCTGGCCACATGACCTTGGAGGTGTCTACGGACAATGCTGGCTCTTTGGCTTAGAGCACCATCCCCCAAAGACGGACACGACTAGATTTAATGTCAAGAGGAAATCTTTACCATAAAGAGAGGGAGGGGAGAGGGAGAGAGGGGACTTGAGCACCCATGGATTTTGCTTTTGGGGCAGTCCTGGTATCAAAGCCTGTCAAATACTGAGGTTCCCCCGTACAACTAAAAAAAAAGCCAGATGTTGAAGTGGAATTAAAGACATTAGGACTATGCTTCTGATTTTCTTCCATCTCTCTGTGCTGGTTTTGGGTGTTTTTCTATTTGCACAAAAGCTCAGCTACAGGCAATGCTTCTAGTATTCCTCCAAGACTTGTCTACTTTGCCCAAAGGTGTGTCTCTATGGGGAAACTCACCAAATGAGCCGATTGCTCCCCAAATGAGCATTTTTACTCCCTGGTGAATTTTTCCTACAGTCCCCAATAATTTGTAACATTTCACTTGAGTGAAAAATAGATAATTGGTTCAGAAAAAAGACATAAGCAGAGATATGTACAAAGCAAATGTAAAACAATTGCTTTCCAGTGCCTTATCTCCAATAAATCTGGGTGACTGAAGGGAAAATTAACTGGAGGAGAATTGGCCATCTGAAAGGATGTTGCCCAGGGGACGCCCGAATGTTCGATGTTTTACCATCCTTGTGGGAGGCTTCCCTCATGTCCCCGCATGGGGAACTGGAGCTGACAGAGGGAGCTCAACCCACTCTCTCTAGATTTGAACCACCGACCTGTCAGTTCAGCAATCCTGCCGGCACAAGGGTTTAACCCATTGTGCCACTGGGAGCTCCATTTGGGAGGGAAACTCTCCTTTTGGGGTCACCATGTGGACCTTGGGGTGCATCTCCATTTTAGAAGGAATTCAGTTTGCTGCGGCTCACTGTGATGGGATCCTGGGAGTTGTAGTTTCAAAACAGCTTAAGCTATTGGTTCTCAACCTGTGGGTCCCCAGATATTTTGGCCTTCAACTCCCAGAAATCCTAACTGGCTGGGATTTCTGGGAATTGTAGGCCAAAACACCTGGGGAGACACAGGTTGAGAACCACTGGCTTAAGCCTTTTCTGCCCAAAATAATAATAATAATAATAATAATAATAGTAATAATATAATCTTTATTTATACCCTGCCACCATCTCCGCAATGGGGACTCAGGGCGGCTAACATGAGGCCAAGCCCAAAAATAGTACAACAAAATAAGAATGTGCCAGTGCCTCACCAAACTATAACTCCCATGATTCCATTGCATTGAACCAGTGCAATTAAATCGGTTTCAAACTGCATTAACTCTACAGTGCAGTTGGGTCTTAGATGAAATTGGGAAAAGTGTTCCTTATCAAGAAATAGGAATAGTTGACAATATAGATTCCATAGCATTGAGCTGCAGACATTAAAGTTGTGCGAAACAACATTCATTTTGTGTTGTAGACGAGCCATAAAGGCCCTTTGTTTTAGGCTTAATAAGGAGATGTGGATGGGATCGGTTGACCTTGCCCTTAAGATTGCTCAGATGTCCTTCCTCTTTTGCAGGTTTCCTGAGTGTCGGAGAGCACCTGAAGCCCTGCCCTTTCCTTGAAGGAGGAGGGAGTGTACCTGATGATAAGGACCTCCTCTCTCTAGTGGTTCATGTTTCGCCACCCGGACAGCATCTCGGCTTTGATTGCTCCGAACTCCCCGCAGCTCCAGGGCTGGATGGAAGAGGGACAAGGCTCTGCCATGAGCCGCTACAGCTTCTCCAACCTCTTGGACTGGATGTATGGAGGCGTGGACCCCAGCTTCGAAGGCAACGGGGGTCCCGAATGCGCCGCCTTCCTTCCCTGGAAGCAGCGGTTGGTGGAAAGTGTGGTCTTCCTCAGTTTGGGGTTTTTGGAGGTGGCGGTGTCGCTGCGGAAGATCCGACAGAGCCATGCTAAAGAGGCAGGTGACTTGCTCGCTCAGTCCCGGATCAAGCAGGAAAGCTGGGGAAAGAACCTGCTCCTTGCCGCTCTTTGCCTCACTTTTGGACTGGAAGTGGGATTCAAGTTTGCGACGAAGACGGTCATCTACTTGCTGAACCCTTGCCACGTGGTCACCATGATGCAGGTATGGAAAGCTATGCCAGGTTGGTTTGATTGCCGTCCCATTTATTCTGATTTATGGAGATCCTTCCCTAGCGTTTTCCGCTGCGTGCTGTTGCATTAATTCTGATTTATGGAGTTCCTTCTCTTGGCAAGGCTTGTTCGGAGTAGATTTCCCATTCATTGCTTTTCTTTGAAGGAAGGGTGCGACTTGTCCAAAATCATCCAGTGGGTTTTGCGGATGAGCTGAGATCTCAACCGGTATTCTTCCTCAATCCTAGTTTATTTATTATATCAGAAGCAAACCAAGGGTACAGCTGTAATGTATTTAAAAAATGCAAAGTTTAAAAAACTTGTATTATACTAAATGTCCTTTGACTTGGAGTGCCTCTGGTGTTGCTATAAGAAGGTCTTACATTTGTGTATGTGGAAGGGCAAAGACCGCATTGTAGTAGGTAGTCTGTGGTTTACTCTTCTCTACATGTTATGGACTCCACTTTGTGGCCCCATTTCTTAAGGTTGGCTGTGCGTCTCGTGGTGCCAGAGCGCAGTCTGTTCAGTGCCCTCCAAGTTGCCCAGTCTTCTGCATGCCCAGGAGGGAGTCTCTCATTTGATATCAGCCATGGCTTGAGGTGCTTGGTTTTAGCCTGCCACTTTTGGACTCTTGCTTGCTGAGGTGTTCCTGCACATATCTCTGTCAATCTTAGAAAACTGTTTCTTGATTTAAGGCGTTGGTGTTCTGGATGACATCCAAACAGAGGATGGGCTGGGAATATCATTGCGTTGGTCCTTTCTTTATCAGCTGCTACTTCCCAATGGATTTCAGGTGGTGCAATACCGGCTAAATAGTATAATTTCTCCAATGGTGTAGGGCGTAGACATTCTGTGATAATGTGACATGTCTCATTAAGAGCCACATCCATTGTTTTAACGTGGTGAGAACTATTCCACACTGGGCTTGCGTACTCAGTAGCAGAGTAGCATAGCGCAAGGGCAGATGTCTTCACTGTGTCTGGTTGTGATCCCCAGGTTGTGCCAGTCAGCTTTCATACGATGTTATTTCTAGCACCCACTTTTGCTCAATATTCAAGCAGTGCTTCTATATTCAAGCAATCCTAGTATAATATTGAGACTATACACAACACTGACTATATTCTTATGTGCTTGAAGTTGATTCTGACTTACATTGACTCTCATCCTATGATTTTCGCAGCAAGATTTGTTTTGAATGGGTTTGCCATTATCTTTGTAGGGCTGAGAGATTAAGCTTCTACGGCAAGTGAGGATTGGGACAATTGTCTCTTAGAAAGCTAGTCCAAAATTCATACCACTATCACACACTGATTCTCACCTAAATTCTTGTGCCAGCTGAACTTCTGACCTGAAGGTCGGTGGTTAGAGTCCACGAGACAGGGTGAGCTCCCATTTAACACCCGGTGATGCAATGGGTTAAACCCTTGTGGTGGCAGGACTGCCGACCGAAAGGTTGGTGGTTCGAATCTGGGTAGCAGGGTGAGAGAAGCCTCCCACATGATGATAACATATCCCGGTGTCCCCTGGGCAACGTCCTTGCAGACGGCCAATTCTCATACACCAATTCTCAAATCTAGGGAATGGGGTGATCTCCTGTCTGTCAGCTCCAGCTTTCCATGTGGGGACATGAGAGAAGCCTCTCACAGGATGGTAACACATCTGGGTGTCCCGTGGGCAACATCCTTGCAGACGGCCAATTCTCTCACACCAGAAGCGACTTGCGGTTTCTCAAGTCACTCCTGACACACACAAAAAAATGTCATTGGCCTCTTTCTCCATCCTTTTGGGAAATGACTCATTCCTAGAAATGCTTCCTGTCTTCAGCAGGGGATAAGATCAATGAGCTCGTGACTTCCAATGCACCTGGAATGTATTTTAATTCTGGGCAAAGAACTTTTTTGAAACCGTTCCTGTATTTTGATCGTACTATACATCTCTATCTAATCTAAAAGCACATATGCTTCAGTAGGGTCTCTCAGGGAAAACAGCAGAGTAGTAAATACATCCATAAAACAATGAAAGTATGGATTGGAAAAAGGATCTGGGATAATAAAAAAGCGTATTTCCTTGTTTCCAGAGGAGTCATATGCCTGGCACCACTTGAGGAATGGCTCTGTGTAAGTGTGCCTTCAAGTTAAGGCATCCCAATTAATATTGGAGGATTTTCTTAGGGAAGGAATAGCCAGAGAGATTGTTGTCCTGTACTTAGAGTTTCTCAACCTTCCTAATGCCGCGACCCCTTAATACAGTTCCTCATGTTAACATGCAAACTGCATGTCTATCTGCCCTGAGTCTTTGGAACCAACTCTAAGAAAGTATCTCATTTCTCCGTGTTGCTAGGACCGCATTGCTCAATCTGGGGTTGGGACCCCAGGGGAGGGGGGTTTGTGAGGGGGTGCCAGAGGAGTCACCAAAGACCATCAGAAAACACAGTATTTTCTGTTGGTCATGGGGGTTCTATGTCGGAAGTTTGGCCCAATTCTATCATTGGTGGGGTTCAGAATGCTCTTTGATTGTAGGTGAACTATAAATCCCAGCAACCTCAACTCCCAAATGTCAAAGTCTATTTTCCCCAAATTCCACCAGTGTTCACATTTGGGTATATTGAGTATCCATGTCAAGTTTGGTCCAGATCCATCATTGTTTGAGTCCACAGTGCTCTCTGGATATAGGTGAACTGCAACTCCAAAATACAAGGTCAATGCTCACCAAACCCAAGATTTTCTGTTGGTCATGAGAGTTCTGTGTGCCAAGTTTGGTTCAGTTTCATCATTGGTGGAGTTCAGAATGCTCTTTGATTGTAGCTGAACTATATAAATCCCAGCAAATACAACTCCCAAATGACAAAATCAATCCCCGCCCCCCAAATCCTACCAATATTCTAATTTGGGTGTATCGAGTATTTGTGCCAAATTTGGTCCAGTGAATGGGAATGCATCCTGCATATCAGATATTGACATGACGATTCGTAACAGTAGCAAAATTACAGTTACGAAGTAGCAACGAATATAATGTTATGGTTGGGGGTCAGCACAACATGAGGAACTGTATTAAGGGGTTGCGGCATTAGGAAGTTTGAGAAACACTGCGCTACGAAAACAATGAGGGATTATATTCAAAGTGCTGGTTTTAGCCTATAAAGCCCTAAAGGATTCTGGCCCAGCTTACCTGTCCGAACGTATCTCCGCCTATGAACCTGTGGGTCTCCAGGTGTTTTGGCCTARAACTCCCAGAAATCCCAGCCAGTTTACCAGCTGTTAGGGTTTCTGGGAGTTGAAGGCCAAAACATCTGGGGATCCACAGGTTATGAACCACTGATCTAGGAGCTTAAGATTGTCTGGGGAGGCCCTGCTCTCGATCCGGCCTACCTCGCAAGTGCAATTGGCAGAGATGAAGGACAGGGCCTTCTCAGTGGTGTCCCCCGGCTATGGAACTCCTTCCCCAGGGATATTAGATTGGCCCCTCCCTCCTGACTTTCCGAAAAAAACTGACCACCTTGATTAGCATATAATGGCCTGACAGTGCCTAGAGAAAACCTTTGTTGAGAGGTGATTAGATGTCCTTGTTTGTTTCCTCTCTGTTGTTGTGCTGTTGTAATTTTAGAGTTTTTTTTAATARTGTGTAGACAGAGAAGTCATTGAAATCCAAAAACATGTGGACAGTTTCAACAGAAAGGAGTAAACCATGAAAATGAACAAAATCTGGCTCTAGGCACTGTCAGGCCATTATATGCTAATCAAGGTGGTCAATTGAAACATTCACACCTAGCTCCAGCAGACAAGAGTCCTTTGTCTCACCCTGGTCATTCCACAGATATATAAACCCTTTTTCCTAGTTCCAACAGACCTCACTACCTCCGAGGATAGATGCAAGCGAAATGTCAGGAGAGAATGCCTCTACACCATGGCTATATAGCCCGAAAAAACCTACAACAACCCAGTGATTCCGGCCATGAAAGCCTTCGACAATACGTTTTTATTTATGTTTTATATTGTAATGTTGCTTGTTTTTAATGACACTTTTATGAATGCCTGGCATCGAATTGTGCCAATCTGTAACCCGCCTTGAGTCACCATATGGCTGAGAAAGGTGAGCTATAAATATCGTAAATAAATAAATTATTATAACAGGCATGGGCAAACTTTGTCCCTCTAGGTTGTCAGGAATTGTGGGAGTTGAAGTCCAAAACACCTGTAGGGTCAAAGTTTGCCCATGCCTGGTTAATAAGAATCTTTACACTGCATCTACACAATATTTACATTTTTAACAGAACAAAGCAAACAAACAGACAAAATACAAAATTTGTGAGTTTGGTAGTTGATTAAATGTCCTTTGACCAGTATCTGGCCACTTGGAGTGCTTCTGGTGTTGCCGCAAGAAGGTCCTCCATTGTGCATGTGGCAGGGCTCAGGTTGCATTGCAGCAGGTGGTCAGTGGTTTGCTTTTCTCCACACTATGTTGTGGATTCCACTTTGTAGCCCCATTTCTTGAGGTTGGCTCTGCATCTCGTGGTGCCAGAGCGCAGTCTGTTCCGCGCCTTCCAAGTCACCCAGTCTTCTGTGTGGCCAGGGGGGAGTCTCTCATCTGGTATCAGCCATTGGTTTAGGTTCTGGGTTTGAGCCTGCCACTTTTGGACTCTCGCTTGCTGAGGTGTTCCAGCGAGTGTCTCTGTAGATCTTAGAAAACTATTTCTAGATTTAAGTCGTTGACGTGCTGGCTGATACCCAAACAAGGGGTGAGCTGGGGATGTCTCTGCGTTGGTCCTTTCACTATTGGCTGCTACTTCCTGGTGGATGTCAGGTGGTGCAATACCGGCTAAGCAGTGTAATTTCTCCACTGGTGTAGGGCGCAGACACCCCGTGATAATGCGGCATGTAATATAATTGACTGGTTGCCCTGACACGACAAATAAATCTACACAATATAATTAATACAATTTGGCACCACTTTACAATTGCTATTAAATCATTGGAGTTGCAGTTTCACAAATGC